CTGCGTCTTTAACAATCCTAAATTTAGCTGAACCTTTGATTTGAACATAAATTTTTTTTAACAGTGTCAGGAGGGTGGAAAGCTAACAATGGAAAGGACATTTCTTGAATTAAATCAACCCTCTTATAGAGGTAGCCTAGGTCAGACCTCGTGCATGTAAATAACTGGCCCACTATAAAAGCAATAGTTTTCACTTTTTATCGGTTACCAGCGTAATAACCCACTTGCTATATTGAAACAAGAATCGAAAAGTTTGTTAAACACGAGCCGGAGGCAAGTGATCAAGAAATTATTCACGTGTTCTCCCAACATCTCGCATGGGTTGTCACACCGGCGAACCGATAATTGGCAGCACGACAAAGTGCTGCCAATTGCCCCTGAAAGAATTCCGTAGGAGATAAAAGCAAAACTGTGCTTTTAGTATCAATACTTACGCTATACTGCTTAATGAGCCTATCAAACGTCCTGCAAGTAAAAGAGCAATGTAAAGAAACAGTGTGATGCCAAATATTTACCCTAAACCTGCGGAAAAAACGTGAAAAATCTATTCTTGTCTTTCGCTCGCGGCTATGTATATACCTATATACTGTAAACTATCCTTGGCACCTAGGAAATTATTTTTTTTATCGATTTCTTGAATTTTGGAGCAGAACCCAGCCAATCTCTTATATCACCGTATATCATTTAACACCATCAAAACAAGATTAGAAATATTAATTTGTCATAGACCTTAACTTACCACGCTTCTAACAACACATTAAAAAAATATATTCACCAGAACCCCGCTATTTCGGACTCGGAAAACAAATTGAATCGTTTTTCGGGTACCTCGGGAGTTCGAACCCCCTCCAACTCGAACCATTTTTCGTTTGCTGTAGGAGTTCGAGTTGGCGGGATTCTACTGCAGTTACAACAAAACAAGGCCCGTTACTACGGTTTACAATTGTTTTCATCCGAATATGAGACAGGCCAGATGTTCCGGAAATATACGTGTAAGGTTAGGTTTTTTTTTTAACACGTTTTCAACTATAAACTCAATTTAATTTAGTTTAAAAAAGTGAAAAAAAAGTTTTGTTTAAATTTTTGGAAATCGTTTAAGGCTAAATTTACGACGTCATTGCACGTGTTATTCCGAAAACTGATTAACCTTTACTGATTAATCAAACACCTTACAAATTAACCTTAAAAAGGAAAATTGATGCGGTTATCAGAACGACAGTGGATGAGTATCATATATTTCTGGGTTTTTCAAGTGAAGAGAGCGAAACAATGGGTTAAAATCTCATGCCCACTTCAGCGTTTCACCTTAGGGTCCTAAGCCTAGTTTACAATGGGTCATATGACATCTCCTAACATCAGCTATTGGCTTCTGGTTACCTTTTAAAAAGAACAAGATATGCAACATTTAGCGGTAAATTCATTCACCTTTGATGCATCAAGACCGGGAAGTGGTACCGACATTGCGCTCTGAAGCTAATACTTTTGAGGAGAAGTTTTCCAGGTTGTTCCTCAAGTTTTTGGTATGATAATTTTGTGTGCGTGATTCTGAGCTTTATGCTATTCTGAAGCCAAAAGCGTAATAGTAAACATGGTATCTTTAACATAAGAATTTTCGTGCAGATAAGTGTTTGTCCGGTGAATTTGTCTCGAAAGCGTTTCGCACGTTTTCCAGTGCTTTTGAGAATTGACTTGTATATATGTGAAACGTTCCATCTTAAAAAGCAAATAGGCTTTTGGCATTGGCTGTTACAAGCTGGTACATTTACACGAACAATAGACATATGTCATCACAAGCAACACGTAAATTTGCTAACGCGTCGATCAGAAGAGCCCTTTGTTTTGAAAAGTTATTACACTCGATAAAGAATCAAAAGTTATCTTAATGATGCTTGTTCGTCTGTGGCTCAGGGTATGAGTATGCCTTTAAGTTGCAATTGTATCCTGATAATAGGGCTATTCGTTTAGTTTCACTACATGAATTTAGGAGCCGGAACAGGTCCATCACCAGTCCTCCATTATATTCTGTTGCATCGGCGTATACGATTTTTAAAGATGGAATTGTAAACACGTGATCTGAAGGCACATCAAGGACTGCCTTATTACTTTAAGAAAAAGGAGAAACGCTCACTCGAGCCGGAACGAAAGCAACACAACCACCGTTTCGATGACTTCATGTCATCATTGCTGATTCTAAAAAAAATGGAACGCCAACTCGATGACGCTTTTGGCTATGCTCGCGGCAATGCATTTTTCTGGTGTGCCAAATTGTATCCCTGGATGATGGCTCATTTTCTTTTAATCGGTGAAACGCATGTTCGAGCAAGAACCGGTTATTCAATTGTATTGCATCATGTCAAACATCACTACTAAAAACGATTTGTTACATGGATTTGCCAAATTTTGAGCATAAAATGCATCCAGCAGTATCTATTAATATAGAATTTAAAACACCTCGAGTTTTTTGAAATATTAAAGTGAATACAGTTATTATAAGGAAAGATCTAGATGAATATTTTAAAATGAAAATGAACAGAAAAAGGTACATGCAGGAGCCCAAGTAATGAGCTCCTGGTACGTAACTTTTCGATGACTTCATATTACCATTGTGAAGGGTTAAAACAAAAAATCACTTCAGTGATTAGTAACAAAATTACTAGATCTTTGAGCGATAAGATTGAAAAGCTTGAAAGATTTTAAAATACAAATTGGCTGCCTTGGTGTTACGCCTTTTTTGCTGGTTTATCATATGCGTTGAAAACAAGCGTTATCGAAAGCAACCCACTTACAAACATTATCGTGTTGATCATAGGAACCTTTTGTTTAACAAATATCTAAAACAGTATGGGGGCTGATAACTCCTCTATATCTGTTCCTTGCGGGTATAGATCATGTTTCTTGCGTGGGTATGAATTGCCCATGGCGCCATTTTTTTTATTTTATTAGGTGCCCATAAGAGCAGAAAGCAGCCAATTAGTGATATTGTATAAATAATTTGTTATATGGATTTGTATCATGATAATCGTAAGTGAGGGGTTCCTTATGTATACATCTACATTTCTTTGAAAAAAAATTTGTTCGCATAAGCCTTCCAGGCACAAAGCGTTTGTCATTTCCAGTTGTTCTTTCAAGCAATTGCACCAGTTTGAGTTTTTGTGTTGGACTTTTTGTGCAGTTTTTTTATTTTCTAACTTAAGGTTGTTTTGCTAATCGAGAGTCAGCTCAGTAAAAGAAAACTTTAAATGTTTCTAGCATTTTGCGAGAATTTTCTCGCTGAAGTTTTGAAATTAGTCCATTTAACAGTTGACTTTAAGAAAAGTAATTCATCTTTCTTGTTACTGCCCGTCACGCCTATTGTCAGCTCATAGCGGCAGTGACGAGATCTCTCTCTTCTTACCTACCAAAGACCCGCTTCTGGATTGCCCCCACGTCTCATGTATATTCTTCAAGTCTTCCTCCGGCGTCCGCTGCAAAGTTGTTTTAGGTCGGCCTCTCTTTATAGTCCCCTCTGGTGTCCAGTGGATGGCTACTTTTGCTATACTGTCGGGTTCCCTTCACAGTACAAACCCAATCTATCGACGAAAACCCGACTAAGAAAGTCAATTGGGTTGTAAACATAGGCTAGTGGGAAACCGGATAAACTAAACTAAGCGAAATTTAACCAAAAATTTTACGAAATATATACTTTTCCGTTTATTAAGCGGATGTGAGAATTTTTTTTTCAAGTTTTGACATATTATAAAAAGAGAAAATGGGAATTAGCTTCCTTTTCCATTTCGCGTTACAAGCTGGTTTACAACAATCATGCATAATCGCAAGATACTCACGCCTTGACATTTTTGTTTGACAAAATTCAAACAAAAGATTTTTGGAAGCAACTTGATATCATGTCTTTTTGCCCGCGGCTATGCACATATGTGAAGAATCGACTTTTGCAATTTTTTGTTGTTCCTTGTGTCTTTAGAGCACGAAGCAGTCAACTCTCTTCGCTAGCGATATATTATTAAGCATCGTCAAAGAACGATTTGTTACATGAGTCAGTTCATAAAGTCGTTCACTGATTGCGTGCCAAGCAGCATTACTTACATAAACATAACAATAACAACCATACAATTACTGAATATTCGAGCGGGTAGAGGGAGACAGGTACTGGTGTGGTGGACAATAGGTCTAGAGGTCTGGGCTCGACTTTCACTTCATAATGTTCTTCTGCGTAAACGCTTGCTCTCAAGTACACGGTTCTTTAGTATTCCAATAACAATTTAGGGCTTACATATAACAATATTGGCTACTCCAATAAAAATGTCGAGCATGTTGCACGCATAAGATGTTTACAGAAGCACTTCGAGCTTTAACACAACATCAGGCTATAAAAGTTGTCCTTTTATTTCAAACTTTGTTTTGAATAGTTCCTTATTTATTTCGAAGGAATTTCTCAATTATTACGGTCTCGGTCTTTCAAATAGCCATAAGAATTCAAAGCATAATAAAAATGTCTCATTTTTCCAATTGTAATTTTTTAAAATATTTTTTTCGATCACATATCATGTAATTGGTGTTTTCATGTCCAGCTCTAGAGAAATGGAAATCTGAGCTAATGAAGAGTTGTAACCTCACATATGAATGGTTTTTGAAAATTTACTCACCTTTTTTTATTATAGACCTACATACTTTTACCATATGACCCTACGTAATTATTTGTGTATATTCTAAGTAGTTTTCGTGACTTGAAGGCTAAACATTGTTTTGTTTTTACATTACGTCTGCGAATAATTCATACATTCTTGGATGTCAATGAAACTGGAAAATGCTGAAACTTGTCTTCAATTTTTCTTTTCCGTTTTTTGCTCGACGATTTTTTTCCGTAAAATATTTCATATGGATCGCTAATACTGCGAAGTCGTTTGTCATCTGTCCTATCATTACTTAAGGACAAACTATAACTTAAGTCATTGCGTGGTCAAACAAATAAGCAACCCTTTAGGGCTCGAAGAAGCGTGACGCCAGCCATTTGCATTGATACCGTTGCTGTCTTAGTTTGTTCTACTTTTCATCGGTCGATCTCAGCTTGATTCAAGTGGCAATTCTTCATACATATGAGCGACTATTGAGAAATTAACCGACCTTAAAACCCATCAGGTAACCTGGCACAGATAACGGAAAGTGTCAAGTAGCTAATCGGCACGGTTGACTTCCCTTCTTTACGTCAGCGCTGTTCTATAGAGGCAAAGAGTTTTTCAATTGTATTTGCTTTGTGGCTGGAGGGGTGTAATTTATGAGAACGAAATCAACCGTTCCATAAGCTCTCATCAACTCGCTATATCGAGACAACCCATAAAAACGAAAGGTGGGTGAACTTTGATCATCAGTCAGTAGACCGGTTTTTTTTTTCGATGAGGTATAGTCAAACACCTGTGAAAAAAGGTTTCGTGGCTTCTATGATGCAGAGTTTTGTCTCGGCCAGGAAACCATTCAGACACCTTTGGGAAGCAAACCCTTTGAGCATCATGCATCAAGTTCCATTAGCAAATTCATTCGAGTTTGGATTAAAACTCTGAGAAGTATCTCCCTTGGCCAAGACGAATTGCTACGTTATGTACCAGCCGGAAAATATCTTTCCAGAAGTATTTTTTAATTATTTGATTGAATAAAGCTAATTCGTTTTGATTGTATAAAACCAATTCGTGTACAAGCGGTTTGGAATTTGTTTCTGATAAAGGGGCAGGGTGAATTCGTGAATGGATCTGCGAGCATGAACCTAAACACGTTTTCTCGAAATTTTGAAAGGCATCCAATAACTCTCTTCGCTGAGGACACACGTCACCTAATACCAGCACGAAATGGATTTTGGGAATCAAAGATTATAAATTGAATTAATTATAGAATATTTCCCTAAGATCACTTAAGTCAAGCGAAACTGACCGACGAAAATTGCAGCACATTAAAAGATGTGTGTGACGGTATGAAATAAACTGAGGTTAAGCGGCCTCCAACTGTGGCCATGATAGTTTGTCTGCTTGAGCCGATTTCACCTTTGACACCCTACCATATTCTTCTGACACTTCTCCAAACATTTCCTAAGATGCTGAAAGGGAGAATTTGTTTGACAATCACGACCTTCTTCAGTTGCTGATCATGCCTTTATTCAATTTTTTTGGATTACTAATAAACCATGATGCTTTCCCTCGAAGGTATGTCGCTGAAAATCATGTCTGTAATGGCCCTCGTACTGGGTTTGTCCTCTGTTGCCCAAGTGGTCGCTAAACCAGTAGATAAACGATCTTCCTTGTGTAGCTCTGGAGATCTCTTGTGCTCGAGGAACATGGCGTCTGACGCCGTTGAGACGTCTCCTCTTGGGTAGGTCAATAATCCTGTGCATTAGTTCTATCTCAGCAAATTGGAAACACAAAATTATAGTATTTCACGTGTGTTAATAAACTTTAGTTTTCAAAGGAAAAAAAAAACAAAACAAAACAAAAATCTTTCCTGCGCATGCTTTCGTCACCCCAGATGGAGATCTGGTACCTCGTCAGAGGTTCGACTTCAAGCAAAAAGTGATCAATGTATGAGTCTTACTTAAAAAAAAAAAATTTTTAAAGTTCTCCCATGCAGTTAAAAAATTAACATGCTGCGCACGCTTTCCTCATCTCAGGTCCCCATAAAGAAAGATGCAAATATGCACGGCTAGTTTTGTCGTTCAATTTTTTATCCCTCGCTCGCTCATATAATCAGAGACCATAAGGTCGAATCCTTCTGGTCAAAAGCTTCATCCCAGTGGTCAGCATTGGGATAAGGCGGAAAATGACGAACGTGAGTTCAAGGGAGGGCTAAAACTACACAGAAATCTCTTTTATTGGAGCAAAATACCCCTAACAACGATTCAGCCTTAATCATTAAAGTGCAGCATTTTTTTGTCTCCATTCGCTTAATTCCTTTGTATGAAATGTCTGTTTAGAGTCGAGGATGAAGGAACCAAAGAAGAGAATTGTCCACCAGGGTATGTTAAATAGTTATCTTGCATTAATTCCTTGTATCAGTCAACGTGAAATTATTCCTAGCGAAACACTTTTGAAACATTTCATCGTTAAGTATTAAGAATTATTCGTAGCGCCGTCTTCTTGTCATGGTCATGAACAAAAATATTACTTTGGTACTAAATGATCACGATTATTTACCGAAGTATTAAGCAGTTGCTAAAAAGATGCTTCATGCGCTCTCTTTAGAGAGACGATACTATTAACAACGTTTCAAAATAGGATCTTACTCACTTCTTATTGCAGCTCTATCGGTCTCCACACGATTTCAGGGTATCGATTGACTGTTTATTTTTCGTCCTGCAGATATTGGTGTCGCAGAAGTGAGTTGGTTAGGGATGAAGAAACTCATGAAGAAAATTGTCCACCGGGGTGTGTAAATATTTATCTGCGATCGATTCCTAATATTAATTAACGTGAAATTATTCCTAGCCGATAGCTTAGGTATTTTTCGTGAACTACTTCTTTAGTAGTATGAACTGAAACAAGATACTGATCTCCGTATAATTCCTACCTAAATATCTGTAAACTCTCGCCGATGCCGTTAAATAAAAGATCTCACCTTCTTGCACAGGGTGCAAAAATAGCACCACGCCCACGACTAACCAAGAAAAGGGAGGTCCTGGAAACCAGTCTATGGCACAATGCTTCTGAAAAAACCCTCCCACATAGGCAAATACAATCTGTGTATAACTTTACTGCTTATGATCAGTGACCATTGCGTCGAATTCTGGTGAAATGTTCACTTGAATTGTCGCCGTCGGGTTAGGAAGTCGAAAATAAAGGACGTGAGTTCAACATCCTTATGATAGATCCACAACATATTTCAATCCGTATTCCTCTTTTTCCTTAGCCTCTTTTCTCAGAGCAAAATAACGAACGCTTCAAACTTAATCAGAACGGTACAGCTTTCTTGATGTTCATTCACACGACTCCTTTGCGTCATTCATTCTTTATTTCCCTCCTTGCAGCTATTGGTGCCGAAGAAGTATGATACCAAGGAATGAAGATACTCAACAAAAAGATTGCCCACCAGGGTAAGTAGATTTTTATCTGTAAATTCCTAGTTATTCCGAAGCAAAATTTTTGTTTTCTCTCGTGAAGTATCTCGTTAGTACTTTCAAATAAAAGTTACAAATAAAAGCAAGCCTTGATAACTGCCATATGTAAACATTCTCCCACTGTCTCCTTTTGGAAGATTCCTGTACATCTTAAAACTGTGTATTTTCCGTCCTGTAGCGATTTAGAGTGCCGAAGAAGTGAGCCGGTTAGGGATGAAAAAACGCAACCAGAAAATTGTCCTCCAGGGTATGTTAAATAATCGTCTTCTCTTGATTCGTTGTATCAGTTAACATGAAATTGTTCCCACACTTTACACTTTTGAAAGTATATTTCAACTTCACCATTAAGTATTCATTGTAGAGCCGCCTTTTTGTCATGGTCACGGACAAAAAAAATTTTTGTATTAAGTGATCATGAGTTTTTACTGACGTATTAAGCAATTGCTAAAAAAATGCTTCGGACTATCCTTCTCTTTAAGAAAAATACCATCAACAACGTTTCAAAATTTGGATTTTATTCACTTTATTACAGCTTTTTCGGTCTCCGCACGATTTCAGGGTATCTATTAACTATTTATTTTTCCTCCTGCAGATATTGGTGTCGTAGAAGTGAGTTGGTTAGGGATGATGAAACTGATGAAGAAAATTGTCCACCCGGGTATGTAAATATTTACCTGCCATCGATTCCTAATATGAATTAACGTAGAATTGTTCCCAGTCGAAAACTTAGGTATTTCACGTGAACTACCTCTTTGGTGGTTTGAACTGAAATGAGATTCTGATCTCCGTATAATTCCTATGTAAATAACTGTAAATTCTCTCCGATGCTGTTTCAAAAAAGATCTCAGTCTCTCGAACGTGATCAATGTAAAACAGCATCATACCCACGACCAACCAAGCAAAGGGAGAGCCTGTAAAGCAGTTGGTGGTAAGAAAGGCGAGAGCCTGTAAACCAGTTAGTGGTGCAATGCCTCTAAATACGACCCTCACACTTGGGCAAACTACTATCTACAAACTTTCCTTTCTTTGGTATCAAGTATTCATTATAGTGCATCCCTTGGCTCTTCATTAACAAAGAGGCTGTGGTGTGCTTTAACTGAGTATTTTTTTCCGACAGGTACTGGTGCCGTTGAGTCAAAGATTCACAGTGTCAACCGAGGTACGTATATATTTAATCATCCCATCTCGATTGAGTAATAAAACGTTTCCACTGAAGCGCATCGCGCTCGCGTCGCTCAACAAGAGAGTAAAATTACACAAAGAACCTCATCTCCATGGTTCACCTTTGCATATCTTTTATCGTCTCCCTTCCCCCATCAAAAGCCTCCAAAAAAAAGTACATCATTGTAAGACAATTATTTTATTCTTTATGTAGCACAAGTTGCTGATCCATTGTCTATAGAAATTTACGCCATTATCGCAGTCTGGGGATGCTACTGCTGAAACAATACTCGCCAGAGAATCAAGGGAACGGAGCAGTTATCATTAAAATGTTTAGGTTTTAAAAGTTTGTTGTTCAACTAGTAATTGAAAATAAATCTTCATCAAAAGCCTTGTTCCACTCCGTAATTTCCCCGCATCTGATTTTGAGGGTAACGGCTGATCCTTATATACGAGTGAGGCTCATTTTGTAACCGGATACTAACTTTTTGTCACGGTTTGGCCTCCAAAATTCAGGGTGCGACAATACAGGGTCGGGAGCTCGAGCCTAGCTGTTTTGTTATTCTCAGCGGTCTCACTTGAGCATATACTGTATGTGGGGGATGCAATTTACATTCGCTTTTAATCTCCTTTCCACACGTCAGCGGAACCTGAACTCTAATTTACCGCTCTCAAAGATTACGTTCAGGACAAATTCTACGGAAATTAATGAGTATTCGCAAGGACAATGCATTTATGATCTATAGATAATTTAAAACTCACTCTACACGTTCTCTGACGGAGGTAAACCCGTTTAGCTACTGAGAGTGTCTCAATGGGTTTAACCGTAAGCAGTAAAACGGAAAAAAATAGCCACTAGGCGAAATAAATTAGCGAATTTTAACCATTAGTCATAAAAACGTTAACTGTAATTTTTTTAAAACTACAATGGAGAGAAATTAAGCGTTAGCTGAAAAAGCCATCACCCTATTCAGACCTTCTCCTGTTTTCAACTCGTACGCAAATGATGCTGAGCTTTCCTCTTTCCTGCCGTAAAGCTCAATCTAACTTTAAGCTGTGACTTCATCATCAGAAAGCTTTTCTGGACTGCAGTAATACTCCTTTGACTCATCAAGTGATTCAAAATCCAAATAAGGCGTGTCCTCTTGCATCATTTCCTCTAATAATCTCGTGGTGTTTTCAAAAGTCGGTCTCTCACTGGGCTCCTCTTTCCAACACTCTGACATCAGTTGATATCTGAGAAAGGAATCGTACAAATGAGTGGGTACTGCCTCGTAATATTCAAGCGTGAATCCCTGTTTTACTGTAAACACTTTTGGTATTTCGCCTTTCTCAGAGATTTTCCCTAGGGACTTTCAATGTATTTCATCCAGTGTTATCTTAAATCAATGAAGTTAAATTCAAGAACGCTCAGGACAACGATATGAAGCTTTTTAGTGAGAAAAAAAAAACCACACGAACAGTTTACAACCACAAGGTATCAACTGCAAAAAAAAAAAATATTCAACGTTCAATTCAATAAAAAAGAGTACTGTTTGCCACTAACAATGTATCAGAAGAGGTGTCTGGTTTTTCCATTCGATATCCAGTCTTAAGAAGATTGTACAACTCTTTGTTATTGACTCCTGGGTAAGGGTTTCCTCCTACAAGAAAAAAAGGCTTTGTTATTCACAAAATAATGTATTGTCGTCAAAAAGGAGAATTGCTCATCAGATCTTGGGAATTAAAAGGTTAAAGATAGAAAAACCTAAACAGCAAAGTAATTAGAATTTAAAAGTACTCTGTATCACACACTTTAGACGTTTTCTTACCCATTGTGGAAAGTTCCCAGAGGAGAATTCCAAAAGACCATCTGAAAAATTAAATGTTATTCAAAAAACTTAACATGATAGTAAATCAAAATTAAAACTTAAAAAATTAAAAATCTTTCCTATTGCTCCAGGCTCCGCTTATTTTCCACAGGACTTCAATCTTGACAACAGCGCCAGTACAGACCTACTTGATATAAAAATGGTAACAGGTCGACGGTAGCATGGTAACAATTGGGTCATGCAAACATGATATCCTGACACCATGATACAAATGGTGATATACATGTAGAGGAGTTATCGACTGAGCGTCATTAGCAATCCGTGATTGCTTCATTTCGCTTGTGATGCCTTCTGGGGGGATCAGTAAATTAACGTGACACAACCAAAATCATCCGACCCCCCTTCCCCTCCTCCGGTCTCTTAGCAGTTGTTAAAACACTTACACATCACTTTTGGTTGTATATTCACTGTTGTAAAGTGCTTCTGGCGCCATCCATTTTACTGGTATCTTTTTCCCTTTCTTCAGCGTGTACACGTTTTCATGGGTTTGCCTCATAAGTCCAAAATCAGAAATTTTCACCACTTTGTTTTCATCAAGAAGAACATTACGAGCTGCCAAATCGCGATGGACAAATCCTTTACCTGATAAATACGCCTGGAATGGTAAAAGAACATAAGAAGAGAAAGATTCATGTTTTTTTTATAAATATTGAGGGAGGGAGTCAGAGGATTTTTTTAGGCCGGTGTCACTGTAAAATTTAACTGATTACCCTATAAGGCTATGTAGTATTCTTATAACCTGCCTTCACTGGCAATCAATTTCTATAGTCCCCTATTTATATTCTGTAAGGGATGACTAATCCCCTCACCGTTCCCCCCTGAAAGCTATGTGATCCCCCAAAAAAATCCTTCGTCCCCCCTCCCCCCCCAAGATAAATAATGACAGGTCCCTGAGACTACGCGTCTACAAGTCGAGCGAACTTGCTTCATCTGGTCTGTCTTAGAATGTGCGACCACAGGATGAGGCGACATGTATCTTATATGTCTTATTAGAAATTTTGGCGCGTAGTTTCGCTGAGTATTTTTCCGAGCTGTGCCGTATTTTGTCAATCTCGCAGGGCAAGTCAAAACAGGAAACAACGAGTGAAAATAATCAGCAATACTATACATCAAAACGTCTAACAAGTGACTTATTATTCAACTGTTTTATTCCATACGCTTTTCTTATAAAGTGGGAAAAGCTAAGCAAGCAGAGAAGGGTGCCATGTGCAGCCGACTAGTTAAAAATGTTTTTTTATAGTCCAAAATAACCTATCGTAACTGTCTAATATCACAGGATATTTTTATTCGATGGACGCGTTATTTGTGCTCTACTCGGTGCAGTTGGATAATAAGTGGGAATATTGTACCCTAATAATCGGTGTCGTAAGTATTCAAGCCATTCTTGTCCAGTAGCCCGAACATCTGTGGGATAATGGACTCTATCAGCTGTGTTGCTACATTGTG